TTAATAAAATTAAACATTTAAATAAATCTAACATTTTAATTTTAGTTAATTTAAACTTTATATTAAAACTAATAATAAAGTAAACCTATGTTATTGTTTAATTAAAATAAAACACAATAAAGTAAAATACAATAATATAAATTAAAATTAAAATTAAAATTAAGCCGGATCAAATATGGTGTCTACAGGTGGAGTGAAATGACACATTCGTTATGGTCCTTACAACAAGGTAGTTAGATGTCGGGCCATAGGTCGGCAATGATTGAGGTCGGCTATGGATGAGCTTAGTAGCTCAAGCTCGGCCATACACGCTTAGGAGCTCGACAATAAGTGAACTTAAGATCTCGACAATAGGTAAGCTTATGAGCTCGGCCATAGGTGAGCTAAGGAGCTTGAACATAGGTGAGTTTAGGAGCTCGGCTATAGGTGAGCTAAGGAGTTCGGCAATAGGTGAGCTTATGAGCTCGACCATAGGTGAGCTTATGAGCTGGGCGGTAGCTTGACCATATCTCGCCACGTGGTACGTCATATTTTTACCCCAACAAACTCAAATTGTGATTAATTTTGGATTAATTCTCTTGGTATGTTTGACTAATTTCTGTAAACTCATATTCAAATTCTATATTAGGCTAGGTTGGACCAAAATTAGTAACTTCTTAAATTTCAACTTTTAATTTATTGAATTTGTGGCCTAAAATCCATCTGCAACCGAAGATGGTAATGTTTCTAAAGATCAGTGTACTTGGAAAAAGACTATATTAGACACTGTCATAGTTCTTTTATACAAAATTAAATCATGTATTTAGGGTCCCTTCAATACATATTTCAAATTTCTTGTACAATAAAATCACTCAATTTTTGCTGTGATATAGCTCAGCAATAATTGACATATATCTCGCGAGTTATGTTAAAAATCTCATATTGAAAAGAGAGGAAACCTAATAACGGTTTATAATAGACATGAGCTACCCCTCTCATTGTCATTTGATTTTGAAATAGAACCCCATGAATATTGAAATAATAGTATCAGAGTTCGAAACGCTCAAACAAAAAATCGGTTTAAAAATGAGATCCGACTAAGATCGGTGAGCCAAAAAAACTACGATATTGAGGAGTGGTTTTGAAATAGGATCCAATCCCACTGAAAAAAACTTTTTCTTCAAATCTAATTCAATGTGCGAATATTTTTATCAATAGAAGAATTGAATGGAAGAGAGTAATTAATATATCCATAAATATTAAAATATCAATATATTAACATTTAACATGACTGTAAGTACAAATAATTATAATATTATTTTTTTTTCGTTGAACTTTTCTGTGATTTTTTTTTTCTAAAATATCCATCATCATTAATGCCTTTTGATATTTTCACTAATTTTGGGATTCTTAATATTGATGGCATTTTACCTATTTGGTCACACAAGCCTCCAAATTATATACTTCCACCACTTCAATGTTTTTAAATACATTCATATATATTATATTATATGATAGATAATAAGGTAAAGGCCACATCTTTCACTACGTGGATGTTAACATCACCTTAGGTTGCACAGTAGATATGGGCCTTTTGAATTCCACAATCCGTACAACCATTACGTCACCACCAACGTCACTGGCCCCACACATCTCTCTCATCCAATGAATTTTCTTTTTTCCTTTTTCTTTTTCTTTTTTTCTCTTTCTACACAATAATCTCTAATTTCAACTTAAAATTTCATTTCTCTGTACAAATTCGTCTAAGTTTCAACAAAAACCTCAAAATAGAATAATAAAGAGAGAGAGGGAGAGAAAAAAAGCAATGTTTTTGTTTTAATTAGTTTTTTCGACGTCTCTAAGATTTCACCGATAGAATTCTATCTGTCGAGAAGCGTTTAGCTCCATCTCTTCCGCTTCCCACTTGGCCTTTGCCACTACGCCATTGTGGAGTGGCACGTAATCCTACGGAAGGTTTAAAAGTTTAATTAGTTGAGAAAATATGGTAAATTTAATACTGTATTTATATTCTTAACACTATTAATTCTCGTCTCAATATATCAATATAAGAAAAGCAAGTGACGATTATTAATTAGTATCAACTCAACAAAGAAAAAAAAATGATATTATTAATCAGTATCTTATTCATATATTCTTAACGAACCTCGAGCTTTTGAATGAGCTCCTTGGCGTTGGGGGCGGAGACAATGATGCTACGTTGAGACGGCATGATAAAGCCATCGTCCACAGCCTTGTCGATGAAGGAGAGAAGTGAGTTGTAGTAGCCATTAACATTAAGTAGACCCACCTGCATAACACAAAAGTATCATGAGCTATTAAACCACAGATAACGTCATTCCATGGAGAAAATTATTCAATGTGACTGTCGTACAGGTTTGTCGTGGATTCCGAGCTGGGCCCAGGTTATGACTTCGAGGAGCTCTTCCAATGTTCCATATCCACCTGTTCTAGGCAATAATAAAGAACACACAGCATTAATATTATTTTATGCTAAAAGAGGTTTGTTTTAGGATATATAGAGAGAGAGAGACCTGGGAGGGCAATGAAACAGTCTGAATGGCGGGCCATCTCCGCTTTCCTCTGATGCATGTCGGCTACTGGTCGGACCTCCCCAACTGTTTCCCCAGTTATCTACTAATCCAACGTCATATATTATAATAATAATACTACACATTAATCATTATATTTATATTTATATAATACCATTTTTTTATTTCGTCTAATCCTAAGTTTTCATATTTCTTAATCTTCACATTTTTGTGTCCGAAAATGTGTGGGAACAATATCAAATAACTTCAAACTCACTTTAGAGTAGTTAGGATTTCGTACCTCTTTACGCATCAAGGTTTTCGGGATAATTCTGTCAAATAATTAAAATCCATCATAAAAATCAATTCAATAATACGTATATGTTTGTCAACTGTTTCTAATTGGAAAATACTTTGGTTCATTACTAGTAAGGAACAATTTCATCTTTACTATCAATAAATATTTGACAACTCATTATTTTTCAAAAAAAAATATGTTTGTGTAAGGAGAAATCTTGTCCTTACCATCATTAAATGTTTGACAACTAAGAGAGCGAAACGTAAAAATAGAAATTTTTTATAAAAATTAATGAGTTGTCAATTTTTCAATTTGTGGCAAGGATAAAATTTAGTCCATACCGTTAAGGAGTTAATATTTTTCTTTTATTTTTACATTTCTCCTTGTTAAGGAGGTGAGTATTCTCCTTCCCATTTGAGATATATATAAGTTGTTATTGTTCCAATTATAATTCTCTTTTTCTTTACGAGTAATGGAAGATGTGAATCTGATCAATTCGACAAAGACATAATAATATGTTGATCAATATAACTATACTCATGTTGGTTGTTAAAAATCAAGAGTCGCGAGAAAAATTATAAAGAGGGTAAAAGAAAGAAGTTTGTGCTAAAGATGGAAATAAAGAGGAGATAGAGAGATGAATATTAATTTTTACCCTATCACATGTCCACCTCCATTGTGAACCCCTCGAGAGACCAATCCCATTAGTCCAATACTTCCTCCTCCATAAACAAGACCCAATCTCCTCGAAACCTAAAGGAAACCACACTCAAATTAAGCTCAAGAAATTCAACTACAAAAGGAATTTGAACACCTCTAAGTAGCCTACCAATTCTCCGGCAAGCTCAACGGCAGCATCTCGGTAGCAATTCTTCTTGCCGACGCTACTCCCACAAAAGACGCAGACCCTTTTGAACCTGGACTTTGCAGGTACCAATTTGTTGTTCTCCCGATCATCGTCCATGATGGACACCTACCCTTTTGTGTTTTCCTTTCTTTGATAAGACAAAATAAACATAAGCCAAAATGAAGAAGAGAATATATTTTTGTAGCTGAGCTTTAGAGAGAGTGAAAGAGAGATAGCAAAAGAAGGAAGGGCCGAGACGGCCATATATAGAAGTTTGAATGAAAGAAAGGAAGGGAAATTAAAGGGCCAAAGGCAAAGGCAAAGGCAAAAGCAAAGGGCAGTCAATTGAGTCACCTCTGGAATCATGTTGGGCCACGTGCACGCTGCACTTATATTCTTTTTTCGTTTCCTTCGCCGACAGGATTGGCTTCTCTACGCTCTCCTCTACTGTTCCTTTCCCTGCACCACCATCTCTCCTCCACTGCAACTTGGACGAAAATATACTAAGTTCACCTAAAATGAGGCCAATGAGTAATGCTAGCTCGACCACATTAATCTCGATTATACTAGGGTTGAATCTAGTTGTGACTTTCGAGTAGAGAGGAACGGTACATAGACAAATCGATACCACATCCGAATGAGAGGGATCTTGAGATATGGAAGTATGGTGAAGAAAAGTTTAAACTTCATTTTTTGTGGCTCAATTATAAAAATTCTAAAGTTAACCGTACTTGGTTTGGAGCAATCTTCAGTTGGTTAACTTCCTATTTGATTTACTAAGAAGCATGTGAGTGAGGACAAAACATGCTAAAAAGATTTGTGTTGGTCTATAGAGACAGTTTTTACTCTTCTAAATAACTTGGATAAAAATGGTGGTGTAGAATCCAAATTTCGAATCTTAGGCCGGGGGCATTCTACGTTCTATAAATCTTACCCTTTGTTAATATCAATTGAATTCGTGTCTGATTTAAGCAACTAACTGTACGTTGGATTTAGTCAACCTATTATTATGGGCATACATATTTATGATCAGATCAACAATAATCTTCTTTCTACTTTAAGAATTAGTAATTTTTATGTATTTCCTGACACCAAATATTATAGGTTAGACGGTTACTCCGTGAGATTGGTCGAGGTACGTAAAAACTAACCCGAATATATATATATATATATATAAAACAATAATCTCCTTTCTCCTCCCCCAAAGGCAAGATTATTCAATCAAGCTTTTAAACACCTTTGACTTTGAACCAATGCTTCTTGACCTGTCCTAGAAAAAGAAATATGTTATTCTAATTTCTAAATCTCTCTCTCTCTGCCCTGATATTTAATTAGATGGGGCATTGCAGAAAAAGCTTTCCTTTTTTTGTCGCTATACAGAAAATTAAATTCCAAGCTTATCCAAATCTCTCTCTCTCTCTTCTTCCTTTAACTTGACGGATTTGAAGTCTTGTGAGTGTAATTCGATGGAAGGAAGATTGATTAAGTTAAAGCTAATTAATTACACTTCTGATTCTTGTCTCTCTGTTTGTGGAAGACGTTTGATTGCTTAAGCTTATTAATTACACTTTTGATTTGTTAATTATTGATTCAAAAGCTATCAAAAGTTAAAGATCTACCTACTTTTGACCAATTTAAGCTTTAATAAGTTAGTATTAATTTTGATTTCTAATAGCGTCATATAAATATACAAACAAAAATCCGCATTTATTACCTCTTATGTTAGTAGAGGATTAGAGATCTATGAATAAATATTGTTTAATTAGCTTAGTGCCGTACACGATAAGAATATAATAAATGATGATGCGAAGTGCATAAATGCAATTAATAGTGTTTAATTACTTTCAAGTTGTGAATGTGCTGTGTAATTTTCCAATTGTTCGATGGAAAGAAAACTATCTATGGCTTACTTCAGAGTATTTAGAAGTATTGTTTATATGCCCGTCTACCAGATTAAAAGTGTACTACGCTCGATGATAAAAGCGAGAATCATATTTTGTTGGCTACGATGCAAATTCAAAAAGCTACAAGATTTATAATCCTACCACAGAAAAGATGGCGGTAAATAGAGATGTGTCGTGTTTACTGAAAAGGCCGCATGGAATTGGATTGATAATTAAGCACAGACTGCAAGTATCTATTTTTTTCAGAACATAGTGATGAAATTGGTGATATTGCTTTTCCATCAACACCACCTCTATCACTGGTTACGCTAGTACATACTCTTGGGAAAATAACGGTCCTGTATAATTTCTCATTCCACAAAAAATATCCAAACACAACCACAATATGCAAATAGGAAGAAAACTGTAAAGCACAAGATAAATGACACAGCAAATTATACTAGTTCACTACTTAAGGGCTACGTCTAGTCTTCCACTTAGATGTGAGTAATTCACTAATAATGTTAGGATTGGAATACAAAGCTCACCTAAAAAAAATCCACTAGAGGTCCCAGCAAAATCCCCCTAGCTTCTAAGTATTTTAATACAATTAATACTTAGATACATGAATAAAAAACTCACAAGAATCAAGATATAATTATCCCAAATACGTTGATCTTGATTAGCCCCAATGCCTCTGCCAATACCCGAGCCGCTGTTATAACCTGCTCAAAATCGACTGCAAAATAACCTTTTTTCGATTGGTAAACCCTAAAACCCGAACTGCGGCATTTATAGACTCAAAATAGACAGCGCCATGGCGCTACAGACAGATTATCGTTCGCACACGTACAACAGGACAGCATCGCGGCGCTGCCTTCTCAACCCTTGTGGCCTGCATCATCTACTTCCCTGTTTTTCATCCCTGCTTCGACCCCGACACGTCTCGACTTGATCCCGACTCATCCTTAGCTCGTTCCGACGTCGTTTTGGCTCTACCAATCCCAAAACATACCACACCTTCATCATCTACATCAAGTTCAAGTGAAGGGCCTTATCGAATGAGAAAGTTTTTACGAGACATATATGATGAAGTTGAAGAGTTAAGTAAAAATTTTAATGATATTACTCTCTTTTATCTATTTGGTGATAGTGAACCTTTAAATTTTGAAAAAACAGCACAAGATGAAAAGTGGAAGATTGAAATGGATGACGAGATAAAGATCATAAAGAATAACGATACATGAGAGCTTTATATTATTCCAAGTGGAAAGAAAGCAGTAGGTGTCAAATTAGTTTTCAAGACAAAGAGAAATGAAATAGGAGAAGTGAAGAGACATAAAACGAGATCAGTAATTGTGAAAGGCTACTCTCAAAGAAAAGACATTGATTATGATGAAGTATTTGCTCATGTTGCTCGCTTGGAGACTATAAGATTGCTAATTCTTGCTGCTCAAAATAGATGAAAGATTTTTTAGATGGATGCCAAATTAACATTTACGAATGGATATATTAAAGAAGAAGTGGACGTGGAACAACCTCTTGGTTATGTGATGAAAAGACAGGAGGATAAAATTTAAAGTTGAAGAAGGTGTTGTATGGGTTGAAACAAGCTCCAAGAATGTGAAATAATAGAATTGACAAATATTTCCATGACATTGAGATTCTAAGATTCCCTCGTTAACATTCTCATTATACAAAGACTAATAATGATCATAGAGATGTTTTGTTGGTTTGTCTATATATAGATGCCTTGAGTTTTATAGGAAATTGTCCAAACATGTTTGATGGATTTAAGAAAAGAATGATCCAAGAATTCGAGATGATAGATATTGGTATTATGTCATATTATCTTGACATTGAGGTGAAACAATCAGACGAAGGAATTTTTATTTCTCAAGAATGATACATTAGAGAAATCCTTAAGAAATTCAAGATGTTCAATTCTAAAATTAGTTGCATAACTCTGATTGAAATTGGAATGAAATTTTCAAAACAGGAAGATGAAGATGTTGATCCCTCGTATTTCAAAAATTTAATTGAGAGTCTGAGAAATTTAACATGCACAAGACCTGATATTCTTTTCGGTGTTGGATTAGTGAGTCCATTTATGGAATCTCCTACAACTACTTATTTAAAAGTAGTAGAATTCTTCGTGATCTCAAACACATGTTGGATTATGGATTATTTTATTGTCAATACTGCTTTTACCTAGAGTTTTAAAAAACAGTCTGACACTATCTACGTGTGAGTAGAATTCAGGAGCGTGTCATGGAGTTTTGTTGTGAAACTTTCTTAAGACAATTGAAATTGTACAGTAAGATGTTGGTGGTCCAAATAAAACGGATTGCTGACTCCTTATTGAGTCGGAACAATTGTTGACTTATTGTCCACATGGACCACCCTCGACAAGTCCACATCAGCAAGTTCCTAGCTCGGCGTGGATTGGCTGTTTATGCCTTTTAATTCCAACACTTCTTTTTATGGTTATTAATTTATATCCTAAATTAAGTCCCTAACTTCTCTCTCTTTTCTTTACGGTTGGGAAATCTCTTCTCCCTAACTTTTGCTTCCTACCTTCCTACTATTCTTGATCCATCAACCTCCGTATCTGGATCGTTTCTTCTGTGTATTCACTACTATTTTTTGTTTCTGTGACGCTGATGAATAGTAAAAAAATTGAGGAAAAAAAATCTGTTTCAAAAGATAAAAAAGTGCCTTTAGCCAAAAAAAAAAAAGGAAAAAAAGATTGAATTTTTTAGATTTTTTACTTTTCGTGATGTTTGATAACTATATGAATACTTTGATTTTATTATATACAACTTTGTTATATAATTTGGTATTTTTTTTATGAGGATGAACATTAAAATCTTGCTACTTCTTCTTTCATGACATTTATTAACTACCCGAAAACTTTTTTGTGATGTTTTTTAAATGACATTAAATATGTTTTCCGAGACGTTTTTTAAACGTCATGAAATCCATTTTTCGTGACATTTTTTAAACGTCATGAAATCCATTTTTCGTGACATTTTTTTAAATGTCATGAAATCCTTTTTTCGTGACGTTTTAAAAAAACGTCAACCATTTTAACGTCACAAAATCTCTTTCTCGTAGCCTTTTTTAACCATCATGAGATTCATTTTTCGTGACATTTTTTAACCATCATGAAAGTACACATTTTTCATGATGTTTATCATAAATATCACGAATACCTTTCGTGATGAGCGAATATGTGACATCGTAAAGAACGTTACGAAATGGCCCTTTCGTTAGTTTAAACAATATATATATATGGTTTAATATAGTTTATCACATCCATTGTAATAGCAATGTAGCCTGAAAAAATTATTTCTTG